GTACTATTCAGATCTAGATTTTAAATCTGAATCCAAATTTTGGATTCAAAACTTGGATCCAAACTCAAATCTAGATAAAATCCAAAAATTAAGTTTCAAATCCATACCGGGTAAATTTTCATCCCTACCTTTTGAGTGGGATGCCATGTCTTCGCACCGAAAGGGCAATTTTCATGAGGGACATGGAAGCCGCTCTTTAAGACTAGATAGACACGGCTTGGGAAGCTTTCAAAGCCTTATTCCAAATATTAATCCTTCCCAATAAATTTGATTTTCCCTAAGGCGAGTCAAGGATAAAGATATCATTTGAGAGTCCTAAACTCATACTAAACGACAAAGTGGGTTTGTATATCGGTGAGATCGCAAGGGAGTGAAAGTTAAGCCCAAGCAACGTTCAAAAGAATCGAACTGGCCTTGAAAACCAGAAAAAAAAAAAAAGAAAAAAAAAAAAAGAAACAGGGTTCGAGTAAACGGGATACTGGGCGGTTCAACTGGGTCTAAAAAACGGTTTTAAAAAATAAAAGAATGCAAAATAAATTAAAAAAAAGGTGAAAGGTGTATTTAAAGTATGATTAAACAAAAACACATCCAAATAAAGTTGAAAAGTGGTGAAGAACATGGATTTTAAAAATCAATATGTGCACAGGGTATTTTCAAACTTTTCAAAAAAATATGGGAAAATATAAAAATAGTATAGAAAATGTTTACATAAAGTAGTAACTTTAAAATGTAGAATTAAAGGTGCCCCGCAAAAATCCATCGTAAAATATTGTTTGGATGTTGGAAAACCTTCTAATTGATCATTTCGACATTGAGATATATGAATATGAAAAGAAAAAAACGATTTCGAGTCTGAAAAAAAGTGAATCTTGCAATACATTATCTGAGCAGTCCATTTTCAAGATTTTCATGTATTTATATACGGGTCGCAATGGGTTGTGTCCAGTTGGACCCAAACCCTGACCCAAATGTATTTGGGTCTAGGTTTTGGACCCGAACCCGACTCATCAGGTCCATTGCCACCCTCAATGAACTTTCTCTTTTGTAGCCTAAAATGGTGAACAACAGAGAACTGATTTTTTAGGGTTGGACAATTAGAGAGAGAGACATTCGAGATCCAGGGAGAGAGAGTAAAGTCTCCAAGAAACTAAGAGAGGCAGAATTACAGTCAGGGAGGATGGCGATCAGGTTTTACCATTTGGGGAACCAGGGGAAGATGAAAAATATTGAAACGATTTTAGGGTTAGGGCTTTAGCCTTTGGGTAAACAAAAAATTCGAGTCCGGGTACCCGCTGGGTCGGGTATAACAGAACCCATACCCGGACCTAGGACTATCCGGCTATCCTTTGTTAGACTCAGACCCTACCTGCAGGTCCAAAATTTGGACCCATACCCAGACTCGTGTCGAGTATACCCGATGGGTATGGGTCGGGTCTGGGTCTATTATCACCCCTATGTTTATAGATCTACTTGA